TCTCTAGATAGGGCATTTGAGCCTCTTCTTTATTCACTTTGTTTATTCCTTTGTTTATTCAATATACTTCTCATCTTAGATAATGCGTTCTCCATTTCAGACTGGTTCCCCTTTATAATTTCCATTTTCATTTTTATCTCTTTGTTCTCTACATTTCCCAAAAGTTTATTGAGTATCTTTATAACTAGTGTTTTGAACGCTGCATCTGTTAGATTACTTGACTCCATTACATCTGGATCTCTGTTCTGTTCTCTCATATTGTTTCTGCTTCTTTGTTTTCCCATTTTGGCTACCTTTCCATGTCTGATTCTATGTACTAAGACGAGTCCGAAGTCTCCTGGTCTTATTAGTGTGGATTTGTGAAGTAGATGTCCAGTTCTGAGAGGGGTTCAACTGCAGACCAAATTTAGCCCAAACCTCTATCCCTCCGGGGCTACCTGTTAAGATTCAGCAAGCAATCCATAGATGCTATGCTTATAGTTGCCTAAAAAGGCCACACCAGAAACCGAGGCCAGCTGCATCTAATGTGAGTCTAGGAGCTGCTCAGCAAGGAGCACCTGGCTCACTGAGGGTATACCTGGATGTGGTTTGGGTGGAACCACGAGTTGGGGGAGGCGGAGTTTCAGGGAATCTTCTAGGCAGAGTGACTTCCTTTATCCAGTCTGATGACGACAGGGCTATGGTGGAACTGTGTACGCGCACTGGGAGTGGGAGGGCTCAACAGGGACCAATGGATACTGCCAGCACCTTTGTATAGAGCGATTCTTGCTTTGGCCCTCACTCCGACAATGTCTCCTTGTAAGTCTTTGATGCCCCCTGTGCGCAGCCTAATCGGCACTGGTGCTCAGAGTGAGCAGGTCCGTCACCGCGAAAATCCACTTGCAGAGGTGGCCCCTTTAAGAGGCATTTGCCGCTGCCGCTGCCTCTGTCTCACTCAGCCACTCTGAGTGAGACCTGGAAGCCCCACGTCCTCGCCCCGTCCTACCTTCTGCCATTGCACGGTGACCTGGAAGCCCCACGTCCTCGCCCCGTCCTACCTTGGCCTGGACTTCTCCCTAATTGTATGGCTTGTTCATCTAGATCCCAGGCAATTTTTCCTTGCTGCTGCTCCTTAGTACCATCATAACTTTGATTTGGTTGTCAGGGGGATGAACAGAGCCTCTATCATCTACGTTTTTTATTTTCTCCCTAAGCCTGGCATTTCATAGTTATTCATGCTTAGGAAGATTTTTTAAAAAGTGAATTCAGGTGTTGTATAGACATGACTAAAGTTGTGAGGGTGGTCCTGCTCCTTAGTACCATCATAACTTTGATTTGGTTGTTAGGGGGATGAACAGAGCCTCTATCATCTATGTTATTTATTTTCTCCCTAAGCCTGGCATTTCATAGTTATTCATGCTTAGGAAGATTTTTTAAAAAGTGAATTCAGGTGTTGTATAGACATGACTAAAGTTGTGAGGGTGGTCCTTACATGCCTGAGTTTTGGGGACATTCCCTACTTTGTATCATAGATTCCATTCCTCTCATTTATCACATGTCAAGATTTCAATTTTAGTGGTGATTTTTACTGAGTCACTTTTATTTACTAGGAACATCCTGTGCAATGTATTGGTACAAAGAAAGAGTTCTTTCATGAATATTTCTGTTTTGGTATGCCAAAGGTATTTTCCCTAATTCAATTTTATGACTTACTACAAACAGAAATGAGGCAATGGTTCTACTCAATCCAATTAAGAAAACATCTTAAAATGTTTGTTGATAGTAATTGCAAATACAGCATTTTGAATCGAATTTTCAAGTGTCCACTGTGTAATCAGAGTATAGATCTCTTCTTCCTAAAGAGAAATATGAAATTACTATAGCTCTCATTGTCCAAACTTGATGGAAAGGAAATCACAACTTGATGTTGACAGGGGACCTCGCAGAGAAGGGTCTCATAGACTTTAAATATATTACTCAGCTGCCCCACTGGCATTATGTCTATGATAAGAAAAGGATAAATGATACTTACATCCCAGGTTGCTAAACTAAGAGCTTTAATTAACAAGGCTCCAAGAATGGCTGGGGTAAAGATAAAAATGATTGCACTCTGTTCTCTAACCTCAATGGCAGGTTCTTTAACTTCTGTGTTTTCAGATTATGTAAATACATAGAGGCTCTCAGATGGCAAGTTGTTTTGATAAAGAACCTCTTTAGCAAAATATAGATCCTCGTATAACCTCTTCAACCCAAGACTTGTTTAAAACTATGGCTTATGAAACATGTTTATACTTGGACTGCCTAGTCATACACATATTGAATGTAGGAAATAGTGTTTATAATCTGGCCTGTTATTAGTTATGAGGTCATTAGTGTCCCCCCCCGTCCCCCCACATACACACATTGGTCTTTTGTTCTTCAAACCTATACTTGCTCTTGACATCTTTGGGGAGGCAGGGAGAGGCAGGCAGGAAAAGTCTGTTTGGGGGCCTCCGTAGTTGCTTCCATTAAAATGTCTCTGAACTTTTTTCACCCAAACTCAACATAAAGATGCTTCTCCTATATCACCACTATGACTGCAATACAAAGCCAAGATACCTTTATTTTTATTTTTATTTTTCCTTCACAGACTTAGACTTCTAAGTTCTTGAGCTGTGGGGAAGAGGAGAAACAGATCAAGCTTGGCCTCTGTGTGATGTTGTTCCCTCACCTTGATGGGATGCAGTTCATTAGTCCATAAAGTGAATGACTTGCACCATTTTCTCCCTAAAGATCCTTTTTTGCTGAAGCCATGATAATACTCCAAATAAGGTTACAGAATTTTATACTTTTTGGCTTTTAAGAAAAATTCAGAACACTTCTCTCACTTGCTGCATAGACTGTATCAAACACTGAATGAAATGTAAATGGAGACTGGAGGACAATCCTACAATGAAAGGAGACGCTCACGTCCACAACGGCTCAGTGTGCATGGAGGAATTAAGTGGGCTGTGCATAGCTCTACAAACATGAGCAGTATATGCCCTACTGCTCATGTTTGGGGCATTCTGTGTTTATTAGTGGGAAAAAAATCTCTGCTACCTGCTCATGTTTGGGGCATTCTGTGTTTCTTTATTAGTGGGAAAAAATCCCTGCTATCTGAACTAGGCAGAGTTCCAAAACAGAGTCTCTTTGAGAAAAGGGAGAATCAAATGTGTGACAATGTATCAACAAAACTGACATACACAAATAGCACTTGACTGGAGAGACGATTCTCAGCATTTTATTCGAATTATTCCATTTCACTAAATAATCTAACATATTTTTCCTGGCTCCACTAATACCATTGTCATTATTTCCCTTGAAGAGGACTATGCTTTAAAAAATCTGAGTTGTTTCCATGATGTTTAACTCTAAAATTATTTTCCTTACCAAAAAGCGACCCCTCATCAGAAAAGAAACAGAGGGAAAGACATATTTATTTGCAGAAATTACTCTCCACCAGAAACAATTATAGTCCATAATCTTTAAGGATTGTGCTTTTTCTTGGGGCCTCTTTTTTGGGGGGAGGGGGTTCTTTCTCATAAATGTTTGCTTAAAATAAATAACATGCCCTACTACATCATGGAAGGAACGTAAGGTTTAGTCTCTAGAGGACAAACAGGTGGTTGGTTCTTCAGTAAGGGAGCCCACACGGTTCTTAGAGGTGACAGTCATTATACTAGGGTTGGGCGATAGTCAACGAATCTTCTGACTCAACCAGTCAGTACCAATAAAGTATAATGAGGTGAATGAGAGTGGTAGTAACTAGGAGGATCACTCATAGACTAGAATTTCTAGAACAGAAACATTTGAATTAGAGTAAGCCAAAGCTGGAGGGAGACAATGAGAGTCTGGAGAAAGGGTCCAAGAATAGAAAAGTGTGAAAAAAGATACAGGTTTCCCACCAGGTGACCCACAGAAAGGTGGTACTACCAGTCAAGGGCAGTCTTCTGTTTTTGGGATGAGGGTACACTAAATGGGTTCTGCAGTTTTCATTAAAAAATTGGAATGGAAAGTGAAATCAGAGTTTCTCTCCTTGGTTCAGTAAACACTAGAACACCTGTGTGTAAGGCGACAGGATAGGTGCTAGAGGAAAAATACAGCTAATATGTGATCCTGACCTGAAGGAGTAATGTGGTGGCACCACAGATCCCTGCACACCACATGGCACTGTGTCTGAAGGGCCATGTGGAAGGAAGGGTCATTCTGACTGGCAGGATCAGGGAAGGCATTCCCCAGTCCTCTCCTCTTAGATGTCAGCCTGTCCTTTGTGCCTCTATGTAACTGCTCAGCCTGCCCAGGTCCAGGCACTTGCTTATCTTCCTTATCTTTCTCAGCAGTGTGAGAAATAAAAGTTTAAGAAGATAAGATCCTGACTCAAAGGTGCTAATGAATGTGTGTGGAATTGACGTGTTGTGGACATGTCACTCCCTCTTGGTCCAGAAAAGTGGAAAAATCTTTGGGAAAGGAGAACTAAGGTGGTGGTGTAAGGGTAAGGTGTTTTACTCAGAAGGTGGGAGCAAAGGTATACCAACAAGCAAATTTAGTGCATGGCTTAAACCAGATGACACAGAGAGAGTACCAACATGACCAAGGACCCCAAGAAGGTAGCTAGAAGCCCTCTGCAAAATAGGTTAGTCTGCGGAATTGGAAAGCTAAAATCTTTTCCTATTATCTACTCAAATTAAACCAGAGAGTATAATATAATGAATAACTAGAAGATCTTAACATTCTAGAAAGTAGAAAGGGTAAACACAGCACTCCCCACAAAAGGTGAGACTGGAAGTCCAAGAATAGAGAAAGCTTTTGGATATCTTCTTTAAGTTTGTTTTTGGTGTTTTGGTCTGTAAGCAATCAAGATGGAGAGAGAGGCTATCCCAAAGAAGAAAGTCTGCAGGAACCAAAGTAGTTGAGCCCGACCATTCGTGATGCCTTTAGACCTAAAAAAGAAAAGAAAAATTTAACCACCAGAATTTTAGTGTTATGGTTTCACAGGAGTTATTGTTTTCTATTTTTTAAAAAGTGTACGTTTTCTATCTATTTTCATTACCATTTTCTTCCAGCTTCCTAACTCGAATGGTTAGTTCATTTATTTTCATGTTTCTTGTGCATTTAGGATGGTACACTCTTCCTAGAGAAGGAGTCTGGCTACTGCCTGGAGCATTGTATTATAAAACTGTTTCTTATGTAATTTTGATGAGCAAATGGGGTTAAAAAGCACTGGTATGGCTTTAGAGCAAGTGTTTGAAGATAGACCAGATGTAAATCCTAGCTTGGACAATTACCAGCTATGACCTTGGGCAGGGCACTCACTTTCTCTCAGAGTCAGTTTCCTTGTCTGAAAAGTAGGAATAATAGTATTATTTCATCAAGTTGATATGATTTATGAGATAATATACACAAAGTACTTAGAAAAAGGCCTGGCATCTAGCAGTAATGACCACTATAACTAAACTGCTTAAAGCTCAAAAGAAAATGACCCAATTGAAATGAATGGCTTGCTACAGTCTCATCTGTATATAAATAAGTCTCGTGTGGATGACTTAATTTAAAACAAAATTTAAATACAACATATGTAAAACTGATATACAGTTGATTCTTGTAGGGACTAAGGGCACCGACACTGCACACAGTTGAAAATTCTCATATAACTTTTGACTCTTCAAAAACTTAACTATAGTCGGCTCTTTTATCTGTAGGGGACTAGTTCAAGGACTCCCTGCAGATACAAAAATCAGAGGATGCTCAAGTTCCTTATAAAATGTTGTAGAACAATGCATAGTCGGCCCCTCTGCATCTACGGATTACCAAATGTGGATTGAAGATACCGTTTTCAATCAGCAGTTGGTTAGATCTGTGGATGTGAAACCCATGGATATGTAGGGCCAACTGTATTTACTGAAAAAAAAAAAATTGCCTATAAGTAGACCCATGAAGTTCAAACTTGTGTTCTTCAAGGGTCAACTGTAACAAATTAAAGAAAAATCATATGATCATCTTAATGCAGAAGCATTTTATAAATTTCAACATCCATTCTGAATCTAAGTTCTTAGCAAACTTAGAAACGGAACGGAACTTCTTTATTCTGATAGAGATCTACACAACTCTTGATGCAAAATGTTGAAAGCTTTCCTTTTGATCGGGAACAAGGCAAGGATGCCTACTATCACCACTTCTAGTCAATACTGTACTGGAGGTACTACCCAGTGAAATAAGAAGAAACATAAATAAAAGACACAGAGAACTGAAAGGAAGAAATAATATTATATTTCTAGACACAACTGTGTATGTACCTAGAAAATTAAAGAGAATCTGCAGATGAACTATTAGAATAAATGAATTTAGCTAGGCCACTGAATATAAGGTCAAGAGATAAAAAAATAAAGTACATTTATACACTCTACCAACGAACAATAAAAAAATGAAATCTATATCAAAATGGGCCAGGATGTATGAGAAATTCATGTTCATGCAGTGTTATTTATAATGAAAACTAGGCTTAAAAGTCCATCAGAAGAGGTATTTCTTAAGTACATAAATACATTTAAGGCACATCCATATAATAGAATACTAAGCATTAATAAAATGAGTAAGTTTATAGGTATAGACATGGAAAAACAGGACATATATGACAATGGTAAAAGTTATAGGAGTTTATATTTATATGTTTACATATTATGGTGGCTATAAAGTCAAACATATAGTTCAATCTTATCTCTGGTTAAAAGGAATCCACGAATTCCTTTTTATTGCCAGATAGTGGGATTTGGGAGGCTACAAATATACTACATCTTTTTGTGAATTGATTCATTAACTTAAATTCATTCATTCATAATTCAAAAAAAAAATTGTTTTATAGTGACCAATGATACACTGCAACATGTTAGGCCAAAAAGAAATGATTGCAAGAAAATAATAATAGTGACTTAGCCTCTCCATGCTTGTTCTCCCTTTGCCCTTCAAAGAAATGGATAGTACGATTTTAAATTTGAGTCTTTTAATTTTGGAGGCTCCAAATGCCAACAACAAAATATGTGGCAAGTACTGTGAGTTGCGGGGTTGGACACCATGCTTCCAAGCTGAGATTTCACTGAGTGGTTGAAGGAGCCATTGGAAAGAGGCCCTAGTGCTGCGGAATTTGCTATCACGAGTCAAGCCCAAAGAACAGCTTCAACATAACCACAAGTCCCCTGGAATTCGGGGGAAGGGATTAACATCCAATTCAAAAGTTTACAGACTGGTCAGCTTGCGTGACAGGAGAGCAAAGGTTTATGGCTGCATTGGGAACTGCACACACTTGCAAACTTATCCCATGGAGGGACAAGGAAGCTGTTATCGTGAGCCATACAGATCTTGTGGACGTGCACTGGCATGGGTGAGCTTAAAGGGGACCCCACCCTACACGCCTAACCGAAGGATAGAAGAAATCTCGATAAAGGGAATTTCCCCCAATCATCGATCCTGAGGGGAAACTGCAAACAGCATGCTGGGGGAAGCATCAGCAGAAACCATCAGGGAACTGCAGGAGGGAGATTCCTAGTGATGGGTGGTTTTCCCCAAATCCACCAGAGCCCTTCTGGAGAGAAGAACCAACACAGGGTACGCAACATGCATGGCACCCAGCTGCCTGTTCGCAAGGCCGACTGTGCCCTATTTCCCCTAACTACTCTGACCATTTAAAGGCGCAACAAGCAGCTGCTAGTGAATAGGGAAAAAAGGTAGAATGAGAAGACATCAACTACATTCTCTTCCCCATAGCAGGCTCCTAGGCCCCAGCTGGATGAGAACAGACATTCTGAATTAGGTAAGTTTATAGTTTTAATAAATAGGTTGGACTAGACCAAATAATATCACAAGGAAAACCTATGGAACTACTTCAGATTTTATCCAGGGCTAGGGTGGGAGACAGAAAATAACCCACAGGGTAAGATTACTTGGAGAGGGGTAAGAAAGAATAAAGCTGCTTTCCGTTCCTCTCCTGGCAAGTCCAATTTGTTTAATCAACCAGAAGATGGAGTGCCATAATCTATTTAAAGCACTTAGCAGTGTCTAACATAGTGTTCGCCCAAGATACATTAATTATTTTTATTATTAAAACACAGTATATTTAATCAATTACACCTCACCCAAATGGAAAAACTATTGTTAAAATCTAATGTATGAGACAATGTTTTTAAAACAAATTATTTTCTATGGTACCACTCAAATCATTTGGATGAAATCTGGTTAATGAGAATATACATGTAAGCAAATGTTTATTTCCTTTTAATAGAATTATTTTTAGGAAATCATGACTTATTAAACATTCAGAATTCAAAAAAAGAAACACGGTAGTAATAAAGTAACTTATTTTCCACTTTTAGAAGTAATACAACAATAAAAAGAGGTGACAGTTAATCTTGAACAGAAAAAAAAATTAATTGCAAAATACTTTGGCATTACTATAACCATCTTTTTCATTACACCATACTTTTTGTATATGCTACATAAAATACAAATGTAAAGAGAACTTCTAGTAACACTGGCACTTGCTGAGTAGCGTCTAGTCAAGGGGCTCTTATTTTGCATTGCAGTCCAGAATTATCTGTAGAGCTTATAAAAATAACATATCCCCATGTCTGAAGCAAGGCCTACCAGACAGATCAGGATATATGGGTGTGGAAAAAGCTCCTCAGGTGATTCAGCTGTGAAACTAAAACTGAGAATCATTAGCCTCAGTCAATAATTCAGTTCTTTTCAAACTAAAAGGTAGCCTCCTTATCTTTTATTCTCCTTGGGGCAAAGAATTTTTTTAAAAAATAAGAAAAATCATCTAAATTAAGCAACAAAGTGACTGGCTAACACAAATGAAATTAATTCATTCATTAAAAATTTATCGAGTATCTCCTTTGGGCTAGGCTCAGTATTAGGTGTGAAGATTCAACTCCTCTACCTTGAGAGTACTCTCAGCCTGCAAGTGTATGAATTATTTAAATGTGGCTACTCTCACCTTATATTAGATATAGAGAAGCAACAAAGACCTATTAAAAACACCTACTTGCACAATACCATGGCATACAAGGACTCTCCCAAGTGAATCAGCCAGGCAAGCCAATACCTGAAACAAAAATCAGCCTAGTTTAAGGTGATGGTTATCTGCTGATGAAATCTAACACAGAAACCACAAAAAGAAAGGTGCTTTAATGTGAACTAGCACCGCTTTTAGATATATAAAGGCGACTGTGGGCCTCCCAGGTCTACAGTGAGACTGGAGCCGATGTGTCCACATCCCATTTCTGCAGCTCTCCTTACCCATTGTGTAGCAGGGTGTGATGATGGTCCACCAAGTACTGAGTGAAGGAGCCCAGGAGTCCTAGGCTCTGATAAGGAATACTCTGAGGCCAGAAGACAACCCACTGAAAGAGAACCAGAGGCACACAATACCTATTGGGTCACTTAAATCAGCAAATGTTTATTTTTGAGAGAGGCTATAAAATAATCTTGATTCCACAAAAACAAGAACAGACCAAAGAAACTCTGAACTGGGCTTCTACTCTCAACTTCTATTTTCAAAAAGCTATTCGGTAGGAGATTTGTGCTGAGGAAACTGGGGGTATCAGACTCAGTGCCCAGGTTGGATGACTTCTATTCTTAATGAATTCCACCAAAAACATTATTTTATAAAGGTTATTGACAAATTTTAAGAGTTTATGTGCCTTAGCTAGATTCTTTACTGCAGAAACTATGGTCTGAGCCAAATCCCCATTTAATTCGGGATCCCTTTCTCTTCTTTCACCTTTTTCTACCACTAAAACTGGGACTGATCCACTGTACAGAATTGGAAAATAAGTAACATCAGGTTTGTGAAGTGCTAAATGCAACCACTTAATCACATAAGGTTTTTGTAACCTTACCCCTTAGCTAGATTCTTTACTGCAGAAACTATGGTCTGAGCCTAATCCCCATTTAATTCGGGATCCCTTTCTCTTCTTTCACCTTTTTCTACCACTAAAACTGGGACTGATCCACTGTACAGAATTGGAAAATAAGTAACATCAGGTTTGTGAAGTGCTAAATGCAACCACTTAATCACATAAGGTTTTTGTAACCTTTTGTAACTTTCTCTGTCTCTGTGTTGTAGCCTCTGTCAATTTAGGCTTTTCTGAGAATAAATAAGCTCCAATAGTTCCAAAACTTCTTATCCCATTCAGATCTCAGTCAAGAGCAGTACTATCTCTCCCATCATGTTGTTAAACACCTAAAATCTAAAGAAAGCATAAAATATCACTGCATCCTTGAAAACCAATGGGAATGGAAAGGGCAGCATCTAACAGCTCCACAATATCTCAATTTGAAGTCACCAAAGCTTTCCTCCACCTATATTCTAACTAATCAGAGACGCAGAATCATAGTACAGAATAGCACCTTTGAAAAATTTCAGCCCAACACCTCCATTTTACATATGGGGAATCAGGACAAAGGTGGTCAGATTTCACAACAAACACTGTGAGCAAGACAAATAACGCCATGTCAAGGATCTATCGGGCAATATCCAAATAAGTTTTGCCTTCAGTCGAAATTATACCAAGTTACTCCCTGCTTTTCCAGGAGTCTTTCCCGTTATCCTTTAAACGACTGTCAGCCAGACAAAAGTCGCTCCTCTTCTCAGCAGAGATCCTCGCTTTCCTGATTCTACATCTAGGCCAAAACATTTATATCTTTTCTATCCTTTCTGATCAATTAAATCCTATCCATCCTTTAGGTTTTCCTAGCAACTCCAAGTGCCTCAAACATTCTGCTTTGGAAGTCCTCCCCTGACTTTGCAAGCCTACGGCAGTCCGTCAACTTGCCTTCCCCCTCGGTGAGTTCTACTCAGACTCGGTTAAGTTGTAGCAACCGTGGAGAGGCGAGAACGCAAATGCAGGAACACTTTAAAGCAGAAACTGGCCTTTTGGCCCATCGAACTTCTGCTTACTTCAGAAACCCGGGCAACCAGCAGAAGCGCAAGCGCGAAACCTCGCTTCCACAGCGCCCCTCGCCCTACGAGGGCCCGGCCGGCCTAAAAGCAGCTGCCCCGCCCCGTCCGACGCCTCACCGCGAAATATGCCAGCCCCAGGACGGTGACCAGCGAGGGCAAGGGTCTGGTTGTACGGAAGTAGGCGGTAGCAGCCTTGCGGGCCTCCGACTTCGCCACCACCATCTTGAGAGTTATCAGGTGGGAAGCCGTGCCCGCCCCATACAGTTAAAGCCTGAGTAGCCGGTTTCTCAGGACCTCCGGCACAGAGTTATCAGGTGGGAAGCCGTGCCCGCCCCATACAGTTAAAGCCTGAGTAGCCGGTTTCTCAGGACCTCCGGCACCAGCGAAAGGCGCGGGCGGATCAATGCGCCTGCGTCTTCCGGGGTCCAGGGCCCTCTCCCGCGGCTCCGAGCCCGCGGGCGCCGGGACTGCGCCTGCGCGACCTGCCCTCGCCTGCAGGCACGGATCTTGAATAGAGCCATCACTCCGCTCGCTGACTTTACCGTGTAGTAGCCAAAAGAGAGCGTGATGAAAGTGAACCAGAATAAACTACCCCTGTGGAAGTAAGCCCCAACGCCTGGTGCCGTGCTCATGGCTGCAGCATATTCCCTTCGGCACAAAGCAGAGAACAGCTTGCGCGGAGACGGGGTCGGGGTCGGGGCGGAGCCTCGGCGACCGCTCCTCCTACTTCCTGCCCGAAAGGAAGCAGACTCTGCGGGTTCGGAAACCCGGAGAACGGGGCTTCCTGGACCCTGGCCTGGTGGGCTAGACATCATCTTCCGGGAGAGACCCCTGTCTGAGATCACTTTCCCGGATTTAAGATTAACCACGAGTCTAATTTTTGAACTTCAGCTCGGCTGTGCTCTGGGAGAAATAATGCTCTTCCTCTTTCTTAGATGTATCGAGCTATAGGGCACAGCAGTTAGGAACTGGAGCTGTGGAATAGATTGCCTGGTTTAAGCCCTGACTCTGCCACTTAAGTTTTTGTATAAGCTTAGACTAGTTATCTAACCCGTCTGTGACTTAATTTCTTCCAAATCACTCTCTCCACGTGTGACAAGGTGGCTAAATTCTTTGTCCTCCAGGTATCCTGTATTGCCATCCCCTCTGGGTTGGCAGAGAAATATTTCACCTCATTATACTTTACCTCTCACCACTCTAGATGGAGTAATGGCCTAAACATTGGAAACAAGAAAACATGGGAGAAGAGTTTTACAACCTTTGAGAGAGAAGAAAGAAACTTCTTAGCAAGCTATTAAAATTAAAAGCCAGAGGGAAAGATTGAAAATTTAACTGCATCCAAATTTAAAACTTTATTCTTATGAAAGGCACCATAAAGTTGAAAGACCTGGAAGTAGGGATTCTTCAATGTATTTAATAAATGAGTAAAGGATATGAATCGGCTGTCCTTGTAAGAGAAAACTTGAATAGCCAAGACACATGAAAAGATGTTCAACTCTAATGGCAATTTGGAAATGCGCAAAATAAAGCAAAAATAAGATACTATTTTTCCCCACACGATTGGCCTACAGGGCTGGTCAGAGTACAGTGGTGTCTACAATTAATTGATCACAGCCATTTACAATTTATTTGTTCCTTCTCCCACTGCTTCACTTGACTAGGCTAAAAAAAAAAAAAAAAAAAAAGATTGGCCTATGAGGTATCAAGACACTATAAAGAACTATAATTAAAAGCATTTGGTATTTGACACACAAGTCAATGGGAAATGATACTCCAGAGGTGGATCTGACATATACCCAAACATTTATTTTATGATAAAGCTAACATTTCAAATTTAGGAAAGAATGAACTATTCATTAAATTATTTTAGGATGATTGGTTATCTAGGGAAAAAAATACTGTTAACCTACCCTTCACTTAACACAAAAACGCAAATAATGCAGTTTCATGAGGCACAGAGATAATAGTCCTCCTAGGGGAGTTCTGAAGACCGTAGAGTGAGATAGGCACGTGTGGATACTGCAAACCCCCCCACATTTTCCCAGGATCATGAGGATGGGAGGAGAGCAATCTAAACAAATTTATGGAAATATGGATAGCATTGTGTGTCTAGAGAATTAGGAGCAATTTATTGTTGCAAGAAGGAATAATGTGAAATTGAGTGAAGCAAGGTGAGGCTGAAAAGGCATGTAGGGTCCTGGTCATGAATGGTATTAGCTGTCAAACTGAGGAGTTTTGATTTACTTCCTTAGCCAAGGTGAGTCTGTGAAAAATGGGTTTTGCTTTTTTTTTTTAAAAAATCAGTGGAGCAAAAATGTCTGCTGTATGTTGGATGGAGGTAAAATTGGAAGCAGGGAAAGCAAGGAAGGGGAAAAGTTGATAAAGTAGTATAATAGGAATGGAGAAGAGTTATGTCATTCATTTGAATATTCAAAAAATATTTCTGTGGACCCATTTAGTGTGAAGTCACTGCTAGGCTCTAGAGATACAACTGAATAAGACAAATGCAATCCAGGCTTCGGGTTGGTTACACTGTACTTTTGATGAAAATCAATAGGGATTTACCAGAGGCAGCATAACAATGTTTTAATACAGTGACCATTTTGACCTTGGAGTATGAGATCTTGTATTTAGGGGTAACAGAGAGACATGTTTATAGCATTAAATTAACAAATGAATGAAAAGGGCAGAGATAATCTATAGAAGTAAAACTGGGGGTGGGAGAGAGGGAGGGAACTGGGATGTTTGTCCTACCTAAAAACCTTCAGATTCAAATAATGATGATGATTAATGATGCTGCTGCTGCTGATTAAATTTTGTGCAAGATTTTGGCCTGTAGGACACTGATTTTTTTTTTTTTTTAAATACATGCTTGGGAAATGGTTACTTTAGAGGTGGCATGAAATAAAAATTCAATAAATGTTAGCTATTCTTACTATTGTTACACTTCAGTGAACTAAGTGCTGTGATATGGGAGAAAAAGGCTAAGAAATAACTAACATTCAGTTTGAGAAAATACAGTTCATTAAACAGACAATAACAAAATCATCTCAAGAAAACCAGTGTGTTCAAAGCCAATTTACTGAATCATCAGCTTACTAAATTAATCAAATTTATGGAGTGTGGCTTTAATACTTCAATAGGCATGTTATATAGCTTTGTCAGACATGTTTACTTTTGGACATGGAGTAACTTTCTGTTTACTAATATTTCGTGAATCTATTAATGTGTCATTTCCTATTTTGTTGATCTTAAGAATGCGTAAAGGTTTTTTAGCCAATCTCTCAGATAGTATATTGTATTAGTTAGGATTAGATATAGCTGAGAAAAAGTAAACCCTTATTTTTCTCCCACACATCTAGATGTTGACTTTCAGGGCTGGTTTGAGGCTCCCACAGGACACTTTGATCTGTTCTCAGTTTACCCCCACTAGGCTCATACCTTGTGGTTAATCCTTCTTGTCATCTTCATGCTGCGTGAATAATTTCACTATTTTCTGTAGAATACTGCTGCACATTGCATACAATTTGACAGAGATCAACGTCTTATGAATAACCAATATTTCAGCATAGAATTAGGGATGAAAGGAAGTGCCTAATAATTTCCCTTTGAGCACATACATCAAGAGAAGAAAGAAAATGTAATACCTAGAGGCAAGTACAACATTACAATTGTGGCACATAATTGTAGGGACTCAGAAATATTTTTTGAATAAAAGAATGGAATATTCTGTTTCAATATTCTGTATGGAAGGAAAATGTTACATTTTTGAAGTAGAGGACGAACCATATTTTGAGGCATTTAAGTTTAACTTTAACAGTGGGGAAAATGAATAAAAAATTCACGGGGTCCAAAAAAGGTGGAGGACATGTCCAAAATTTCTTGGGGGCGAGGTACCCAGAAAAAAACACTTAAGGAAAACAAAACTACAGAGCACCAAATTCTTAAACTCAACGTTGATCAACGTTGCTTTCGACTAAAGTATTTTCTTCTAAAGTCACTGGAACTTCCTCGTAGCACCTGAAGCAAATGTATAGTCCAGGAGGGCAGAGAGTATTTCGTCGCCTGGAAATGGCATAGCCTGATTGGAGCTAAGTGTTTACAGGAGGCCAGCCTCAAAGACAAAGCTGAAAGGGAAGTAGTAGCTACGTTATGAAACCCCCTAACAGGCATTTTACTATGTTCTAATTTTTCCTTGCAATCGATAATTGGGAGTTAATTTCTTCAAGTTCACCGAATATTGGTTTTCTGAGAGCAAAGGCTCCATTTATGCTGTTCACAGCTGTATCACTGGACTCAATACACATCTGTTATATGTTGGACTCTTACTGTTACGAGGTATTTTTAAAAAGAATGAAGGACTCAGTGGATATCCCTTGAAGCCAAGCTTAATGTAAAAAGTCTAAGAAAGTTTTCAAGAAAAAAAATAAAAGTTTGATGACTCAGGGAGTAAGATTAACCATGAGACTGGGCAGTTTAGGCACTGATTTGTTAACCTTTGCCAGTGATGTCTAGATAATGGAGTGGGAAGAGAGGCAAGATTGACTGGAGTTGAAGTCTGGTGAAAATGTTTATTGGAAGCAATTTGATAAGAGGAGGCACGGGGAAGGTCGCCACCTAGTGTGAATTTAAGGTAGTGAGAGAAAATATAAAAAACCTAAAAAAGTTGATCTGAATTTTGGATTACTGGGGAGGGTTGGGGGAAGCCAGAGAAATTAGTTTAGGTCCAATTATATTTTGGTTTGCTTTGTTCTCTTAGTCTCCAAACTCCTCCAACACTTCCAGCTTCACAAATATTCCCCTCAACTACCTGAAAGCAACTGGTATTGCACAAACAGACTGGCTGAGCTATCAAGGCTCTGACCCCAAGCAGACAGCATAGGACCCATTATAGGAATAATTCATTTATATGACCTCCCATAATATCATCTGCCCATCAAGTCTGTTCTTCGTTTTTTTCTTCATTTTCGTTGGTGAGGCATGATCTATGCTGGAATCATCAAAATCATGGGTTCTCCTTCCACCTGCACCTGGGCCATTAACTTCCTCAATTAAAAACCTTACTTTCACCTGCTTTGTGTTCCTCTAGGAATTTTTCTTAAGAGTTCAACCTCAGGAAAGTTAATTTCTCAATGTTTTGGTGTCCTAATACGTGTAATGAGGATAAGTAACATATACCCACATAGGGACGCTACAGGATTTAAGTAAGGTAATATGTGAATGAACTTTTCTTTAGGCCTGCCATATAAATTTGTAGCAATTTGTTTAAATAGAAAGGGGGATGTGTGGATCCTCTGAATTCAGATGAATTAATCTGAAATAGCTATCAAGAATGTGTTGCGTTTTCCATATCTGGAGTATAAAACACCCTCTTTCCATACATTTGGGAACGTAAAATGTCTTACAGTTGTGAAGAAAACCCCAATGGCCTGCAGTTTTCTCATCTGTAAAATAGATGTTTTGGTTTTCTCAAAG